AACATTTAAGAACAAACTACGAACAAACGATTTGTTTACAAAAAAATAGTAAAAATTGATTTACAGTCGCCAGGTTCATAGAGGTGTTTTTAATGCCAGTAATTTTTACTGTCAATTTGATAGCCCCGCGCTTTTCTTCTTCTTTTATTAATTTTTTCTTATTCCATTTGGAATTTAAAAAATCAAACACGTCCGCCAGGTGGCCAACTGACACGTGGAAATTGCCAGGTTTGAAATTAACCCTGAACCCTGAATTTAAACATAACATTCAGGGGGGGAAACTCCTATGAGCAAGACTGGGGTAGCGTTAAATCAACCACGTCCACTTCACCTGTGGCGCTGCAGTCGTGTGGTGGGGTGAGTGGTGGGAGTGTAATGACAGATGACAGGTGAATATTGATTTTGGTCTTGTGAGGGCAAGGTCAGGGGGGTTTATAGCATATGCGCATTTTGTCAAAAAGTTACTGCGCATCAAAACTGGCGTACGTCCGTTTTACAATAACACAATTATATTTAAAATATAAAATAAACAGAATAATTACAAAATATCTCAATAAAAATGTGTTAATAGCATGCCAAAAGTAATAGTTTCACATATTTTTATTTATCTATCGAAAAATTGAAAAAATATGAATTTAATCAATTATTTGTACAATGTAAATCTGGCTTTGGACAACAAAACCCAAATCTCGTTAATGCTCGAGTCGAATCGATAGCCGAAACCCAAACGATACAAATACAATAACAAACAATGGCCGTGTTCATCGTCGTCAAACATGTTTTAAAAGCAAAGAAACATGTTTCGTAATCGGTTGATGACGCTGAACGGTAGATTTGTTTATGCTTTTGTTTTCTTAACCTCAAATTTAAAACTTCAGGGGAATTCTCTTCAATTTTTTTATTTTTGAAATTGTTAGATATTTAAATATAAACATATGTTTCATTCATATTTTTTTTAACTCGTTCGAGAAAATAATTGATGACAGTCACAAAGGGCCTAATACCATTATCTAAAACTGCGTCATTACCACGTCATTACTAGACTCTTATTGGTTTACCAGACTTGATTGTACCTGATTATTGGATTAACTTCATTAAATAGTGTTAAGTAGTAAAAGGACATATAGTAGTTCAAAAGTACTCTCAGTAAGCGCACATGCGCAGAGCTTTGGTTACACGAGGCAGGCGAATAGGACGCGCTCTCTGACTCCGGCTGGCAAGATGATAACATGTATTGATAAACGTCTCTAAATGTCGGGAATATTAAAGTTGTACAAGTGCCGAAATATAAGTGTGATAAACGAACAGCGTTCAATTGATTATTCCTTAATAACCCAGAACGTTAATAATGGGAAAAGGCCCTTAAAGTGATCTAATTTAAAATCCTAATGAGGTTAGGTCATGGTTAAATGCATGGTTAGGTACTTTGTTTTAATTTTGATTGCTTTTTATTATAATAACTATTAAGTGTTAATTAAAAGCATATTTAGAAGTACCTAATCTGGGCAATCTTGTAGTAGTTGGTGGCCCTAATCTAATTATTAATGGCTTATACACGAATATATAAACGCGTTTGTTTAGTCTACTATCAGTATATTTTATTTGCAGTTTTCTTGCGAGACTAAAATGTGCTTTGTAAAAAATTGTTTAAATTCATCAGGTCGGTTACTTTCTCAACCAAAAACATTTATATGTGTGCGAAATTTGTGGTTTCAGACTGTAGAAAGTTGTAAAAAGTATAAAATACTGTTTTTATAAGGTAACATATTATAATTATAAATGTGGTTTTATTGGTTTTTATACATTTATAAAATTTAAATATAAATTTATTATACATGAATATGCAAACCGCTGTAAAAACACTATAATTCTCATAAATAAAACGTCTTTGGTATGATAGATCATTTTAGATTTTTAATAATTCAGTACTATATATTTTTTGGAATAAAACAAAAGATGGGTTTCATCTTTAAACATTTTAAAGTCAGTGTTTATGTACCTAAATGTTAACAAATTGTGACTGTAACAGAAGATGGAATTTTATTCTGAAACATTTAGGCTGAATTAATAAAAATATAATCGACCAATCACATCAAAGATGTTTTATATGTTTATGAAAAATTATCCTCTTTCTATAATAATATCTATAAAAATATAAACAGATATAATACGAATAGGTTAGGATAAAACAAATACAATATTCACAAGAGTGATTTGAACTGTAAAGAATATTTAAAGTTTAAATACCTATATAATAATACCTACTACACGAGAATACATTAAACATTATTTCAAGTAGTTTAACTAAGGACTGCATCATCTTATTGTGTTCCATATACATCACAAAGATAAAAAACTTTTTTAGGAAAAATAAAAAACCAATTAACTTTATTTCCCAATTTTAACAACCTAGTAATTTCACAAATTTTGTAGGGTGTTTCTATTGACATATATTTTAGGTATTTTGTATTATTTATATATTTTATTTTTACAGGGAGAATTCCCCATACTTAATTCCAAACTTCGTGAGTGGAAATAAAAACCAAAGAGTGAATTAAAATGTTGAGACACATTTTAAATGAATTTATTGAGGACGGCAACAATTTGGGAGCAATAGCTGCAGCTGTCATCGATTTGGGTCGACCAGCTCTGGAACATTTTGAAGACGATGAAGAGGAACATCATGAAGAACCAGTCCGAAATAATAGCTATTATGAAATAATAATAATAATACCTAATTATAGCCTGAATGATTTAAAGGAGCACTTTAGGATGACCAGAGATACCTTTCAAATAAGTACCATTTATGTTTTTACAGTCTTGTGTTTATAATGTATTTTTTTTGGATTTTTATTCAATCCTTAATTTTACTTCATATACTACTTATAAAATATACTTACTGTAATGTATGTTCCAAATGAAATTTTGAACCCTTCGTTAGTAATGTATGGGTTAATTACTCAAACATACTCTTTGTTTCTTCTCTTCTAGGCATTATTAAAGATTACAAGCTATAGCAAACATCCAAGATGTAATTCCTCGGAAAAAAAGCATCTTTTTTCGATATGGGTCTTGGCAAAGCAGGAAAGTTTCAAATCAGTTGGAGACCGTATCAATTTCGCAAAGAGCACTGGCCACAACATCTTCCTGAATATGATGAATTTGTTAGCTGGTCAACGGGGAGAATATATAAGATGGCCAAATGACATGGAGAGACAAAGAACTAGTCGCTTTTTAAGAGATAGATCAGGTAATAAATAGCTTTCAAAAATATATATTTATTTCACATATTATTTTATGTTGTTTTTATAGGTATTCCTGGCATTATTGGTGCAATCGATGGGACCCACATAAATATAAAGGCTCCACCTCACAATGCAAATGATTACTACAATCGCAATAACTGCCACAGCATCATCTTGCAAGGATTATGTAATGAACGCTTTGAATTTATTGATGTCTTTGCTGGAGCAGCTGGAAGAGTGCACGATGCTCGTGTCTTCGGAATAAGCCCGATTTGTGATTTATTAAATGGTGGTGAAGCAGATCAGTACATAGAAGAACATCAGCATTTACTGCGGGATAATGCTTATCCTTTGTTGTCCTGGCTGATGAAGCCTTTTAGGGATAATGGACACTTAACTGAGGAAAAACGTCGATATAATTCCAGGTTAAGTTTAGCAAGGACAATTATTGAACAAGCTTTTGGGCTCTTAAAAGGAAAATGGCGAAGGTTAAAATTTCTAGACATGGCACGAATAGATCTCATTCCAGTCATTATAGCAGCCTGCGTTCTGCATAATTTCATAATAAAAAATCAGGGAATGAAAGCTGCAGAGCATATGGAACCAGAGGAGCAGGGTCTTGAGGAAAATATGGAAAATATGGAAAAAATGAAAATTTAGAAAACATAAGAAGAGGAGGACCAGCAGAAAGAAAACAAAGTTATATAATTTCGATTCTTCACTAAGTAATTTTTTAAGTCTTAATAAAACACTATAATAGCTCAACTGAGTTTTATTTAAAATGCAAACTTACAAACAAAGAACATTTTATCATCTTTAATAAAATAATAATTTTTGGCCAATAGCATATCACAAATGCTACTTGTATTTACACAACATACTATAGTAGCCCAACTGAGTTTTATTTAAAAAATAAACTTTCAAACAAAGAACATTTTATCACCTAAAATAATAATTTTTGGCCAATAGCATATCACAAATGCTACTTGTATTTACACATTTAAAATTGTAAAAATATATATTTATTTATGCTTAATAATACTTAAATATCATTTTATTGAAAGGAACTTCAGTCATTAAGTTATACTTAAATGTCTAATTTGTAATGCACAATCGGCAGCAAAGGGTTTTCAAGTAACTATTAAATGAGGTATAAAAATAGTGTAAGAAAATAATTCAGTACCTCAGAGGTAAACTGCACTATATGTCGACATAGTGCAGTTTAAAAAAGTTATATTTTTAAACTAAGCTCATCGGGACCTTTCCAGAGGTATACTATACCATACCATTATAAGTGACGTCGAAAAATATAACACTATGTTCAATAAACTTGAGAGGTAAATAAAACCATTTCTATGAGAAGATAGAATTGTTGGAGGTATATGACACTATGTTACAGAAAAGTTGAAGAATGTAGAAATGTCATAAAAATCAATAATTTATGCAAATTAAAAAAAAAGTTTTATGAGTTAAATATGAAAATTGAATAATTTCTTGTCAAAAAATATAATATGTAATTATTGAACACAAAAAGTGTCCAAACATTCAATCTGCTCTACTAAAAAGTTGACTAGAATAACACAGTGCAGTTTGCCTCCGAGGTACTGAATTGTTGACTAGCGTAAATGGAAAATAAATTTTTATATAATAACATAACAGCCAAAAAAATTCAGTTATCACAAACATGTTACAGCAAAAAGAAAGCTGAAACAAAATACTCGAATAAAAAGTCACATTTTTAATATTATGTAAGTCTTATAGTCTAAAATTGGGGCTATCGATGAGTTTTTTAAGTAAACCGTTTTTTTCTCTTAAAATAATATTTTGGTCTTCAATCCCTTTAAGCAATCTATTAAGAGCATCCACTCTTTTCTCTTCAATTTCTCGTATATGTTTACGGTGAAGATCCAGTCTACTTTGTTTAATAGTTTTGTTATTTAGGTTAGAAATGTTCATGAAATTAGTGGGAGTGGTCGTAGCAGCAGGATTCATATTTATGAAAGTATTTTCCCCATTTATAATTGTATCAATAATAGGAGAAAGAGGTTCAGGGGATAGCGGCATTTCAAGAACTCTTGCACTTTTTCCAGTCATTGAAGACATTAAAAAACTTGAATTTATGGTATGATCATTTGCAAATATTTGATACAACAATTTAAAATACTTCCAATCTATCCTACCCTTTCCAGTACTTTTTTTTGTTATCATTATCTTTTTTCAATTTAAAAGTTTAAGGTTTCTAAATTTTCTATTTAAAATGTCTATATTTACATAATACCCAAACTGCTTCATTGTGTTCACAATATCCTGCCAGAGTGCCTTTTTTTTTCATTTTAGGGTGCCTAAATTTATCTTTCCTATTATTATATTCGTCAATCAACAAAAAAGTTGCCTTTTCATTCCAAAAAAAAAAAACCTAAAAAAGCAAAATAAACACAAATTTAAGCTTCTTTACCAACAAATTTAACATGTTTATTGCAATAAATTAACAAAACTCACTGTCCGTTGTTTCAGATGTAGCATCCTCCGATACATTTTCTACAGTTTTTGACTCTGTATTGATGTTTTTATCATTATTGTAGAAGTATTCATTCCAATCTAAAAAAGAAATGAAATAATTGTAATTCTAGAATTCAAAGTGAAATGAATTAACTTACCCTGAGCTTCAAAATTGTTTTCTTCTTTCCCATCTGAATCTTGAGTGAAACCTAAACAGAAAATACTATATATGTTTAACCATCCGCTTATTTTAAGAGGGACATGTTCCAAAATGTACCACTCACCCGGCATTTCAGCATTACTCTCAGAGAGATAAAAGGACTCATCATTTATTGCATTTTTATCCTGGACGTTTACTCCTGAGTTTTCTGTAAAATCTTTAAGAAGCAGATATAAGTTATTTTAGAACTAGATAATGCAACAACAAATTACTCACCCCCATTTTCTGTTTGGGAAGTACCAAAATCAATGTTTGTTTCGAGGTTTGTTTCTATTTCACTTCTTCTAGTAGCCTGACCTAAAGTCGCTAAAAACGATCAGAATAAAAATCCAGATCTATGTACCCATCCATGAGATAGAGTCGGAATAAATAAATTAAAAAATATATGTATATAAAAGCAGAATAATGTATCTTGTCTGAGATAAAATAAGTCACCTTGACTTTCCTGAGCATCTCGAGTAAGCTTTCGAATACTTTCTGGGTCCATTTGCAAAAAGAAAATCCTTCCATCTAAAATATATGCCAAAGTTTTAAGCAAAATACTTCTAAAAGAACTTTATAGCTATTTTCAGATGGTATTTACCTGATTTTTTTTTTCTTACTAGTATATGATCGCCTTTAATTATAGGCAAATAATTAATAATTACTGCCGTGTAATCTATATTTTCATATCAAATATCCATTTCTTTAAATCAAAATCCAGATAAATCTAATAATTGAAATTGCTATTAAATAAACAACAAATAACCTAACAAAATTGTAATAGAATTGACAATTGACAGGAGTGCAAGGTCAATTGTATGCTTTTAAAGCAGAAAAGGAAGTTTATTTTCGCTTTTATGCTTCTTCAAAAGCGCTGCAGCGGTTGACAGTTCATCGCCACCGCTTACTCAGCGTTACAACATGTTTGACGACGATGAACACAGCCAATTATTATAAGTGAATTTTATTTAATAAAGGTTTAGGCATACATTTAGGAATAATTTACTTTCAGTAAACTTATTTTGATACTTTAACATGTCTATGTCTTATAAATGTGTATATTTGATTGTAATAGTAAATTGTTCTGACCCATTTACACTGTTTTAGTACAAAAATTTATATTTTATTGTCAACTGAAAAAAAGGATTATCCGTATTCGTAATTGTGTTATCCGTAAGTATTGAAATCCTTAACAAAGCTTTAATTCTGATGATATGCGAATTTAATTATATGTATTAACCAAGATTTTAAATTTGATAAATCTAAAGTATTTTCATTACATAAGGCAAGCAAATCTTAATTATACATTATAGAAATTAGAAGTAGTAAATTAAAAATTAGTTTAATCGCTGCAAATGCTAAAGTAATGAGTCGCATACAATCAAAATCATGTTTTAAGAAGTTTTTGGCTCTCAACGATTGCTTTTTTTTTTTTCGTTTCAGCATTTATGGATGGAACTCTTGTTTTATTTCGCACGAATTACGTCAACGTTCCTTATGTGAATTGAAAGGTCAACGACTATTTTTCTTAGAAACTGTTATCGCGTATCTTATTTCGTTATTCTGGTTTACAACATTTTTATATGAATTATTCACTTGTTAATTAGATCTCTTGGTAGTTAGATGTATTGTTAGACGAAATAAAACTTGTACAATTTAAAATATTTTTTTTTAAACGAATTTTGAGATCAAAAAATATTTGTGGCGCAGTATAGCCGTTCACAACAATCAGCGTCGAAAGTTGGGACACAAATCGCTCAACTTTGCAAGGAGTGCAGATTCCAGGGATAGGTATTGTTCATCCTTATAGTTAGACAAGGAAAATGCTCAAATTCGTGTTTTTATTGTAAGTAACTTAAAATTATTTTTTTTTATTTTTAATTGTCAATTGATTTACTCGCAGACGAATTTGCAACTCTTGATTTAGATAATTTAATTGACCTTCCTATTCCAAAGAAAGAAGCTGCTCTAGATTTAGTTTTAAAAATAGAAATAAAGAAAAAGATCTAAAAAAACAAAAAACCTTTAAGAAAAATGGCTGACTTTAAACCTGAATATTTAAATTGCGTACCAGAGTTCGATGGTAATCCAAACGAACTTAATAGGTACTTATCGGTATGTGAATCTCTTATTAACAGTTTTTATAGTAGAGATCAGCCAAATGATTTCCAAAATACATATTTATTAAACTCTTTAATTTCTAAACTTCGTGGAAACGCAAAACTTGTAAATATACAAAATGTAACCAATTGGACATCGCTAAAAGATACTCTTTCTAGAAATTTTGCCGATCAGAGAGACGAAGCTTGTCTGAACTGCGATCTAGATGAGGAAAGGTAATAACGAACAACCTCAACATTTTTACGATAGAATTTTGAATATTTTAAATCTTATTTGTAGCTATGTAGAGTTACTCGAAATAACTCAAAATAGTAAATTACTAAAAAAGGATTTGTATAATACTTTAGCTTTGAAAACATTTCTATACGGTCTTAAGGAGCCTTGGGAACTACAATTCGTTGTATGAAGCCCAATAGTTTAAATCAAGCATTGCAATATGTTTTAGATGAAGATAATATACATTATCTCCAAAATTTTCAAAATAACCAAAACAGAAATTTTAATAAACAACCTTCCCTACAATTTAGGCAACAACAGAGACCAATTTCAAATAATCAAAATCGATTTAATACTAGAAATAATTTTAATCATCAACCTCGATATAATTTTAATGCACAAACTTCTATTGATTTCTTTACAACACAAAATTCCTTCCTAACAGGTCCTGTAAACATCCAACCACGAGTACCTAGATATCAAAATTTTCCTACTAATGAATAGAACTAGAAATAATGTTTTCAAACCTAATCAAACACCTACACAGAATTTTTCAAAACTTACTCCAATGAGTGTTTCCACGCGCAATACATTTAACAGAAATACTCCAATGAGTACTTCTACTCGAAATGGTCCAAATTTTTCAAACTCATTTAATCGAAACCAACCTCGAATGAATTTTATAGCCAAAGAATTATTTAATGCGGAATGTCAAAATGCCGACAATTTTTCTAATTCTCACGAGTAGGGTATAGTAGTATGCCCAAACTGTGTAAACCCCCTGTATGAGCAAAATGTGCAAACCAGTTTAACCAGATCTCCAAGTTAATAACCTGAATAATAGAATAACTAGTTTGATGGTCAGAGGGTTAATGACACATGTCTAGACACTTGATATTCAACTTGTTTGAATACATACACATACCCACCAACTAACTCATATGTCAAATATACTAATCAAAAACAAGATAGAATTCAAAGGGGGGTTATTTTGACTACAACTTTTACATATTTTACTCTTTAAAAAAATATTTCAATGGTATTTACTAAAATTATTCCAGCTAATACAAGAACTTCGAAAATACTCAAAAACAAGAAATAATTTAGGTACCTAAATTATTTTTTGAACATTAACACAACTATTTTTGAAAGGGTAAAATTGTTCATAAAAAATTTGTTGGTTCATAACGTAAAGCATGTGCAAAAACCAGATTAAATACAAGAGACAAAATATAATTATAAAAATTATTGTTCTTGATAAATTCACTCATAAAATTATTATGCCCATCCTGTATATTCTGAAGACAAAGAAAATGTATCAAAGCATACGCGCACCTGCATAAAAGGTATAAAAAATGCAAACTATACTAAAAATAAATTCCAATGATAAGTGCATGTATGAGATTCTTAAAAAAGAGACTTCAATACAATACAAAGAAAATGCATTAAATCAGTACCTGTTTAAAAAATGCATGCCATTTTAAAAATTATTCTTAAAATAAAATCCAACAACTATAAATGTTATAATTGCATGTCTGAGATTCATAAACAAGATAACCATTCCATATAAGGAATGCATTAATTATAGTACCCAAGCCGAAATATTGCAGACATAAAAATGTATTCACATAATGACATACCAAATAAGGTAGGGTCTGATGTAGCATCTAGCAAGATATATTTTTTAGAGAATGGAAACATATTTCTAAATAAGGCGGGTGTTTTCTTTTTATTGGTAATATATTTCTGCAAGTAATTTTTTTTATTTTTGTGTGGAACTTGTGGGAAAATATTGCAGCAAGTACTTGTTTATTTTTGTTCTGGGTTAAAAATCTAGACATAGCAACTACTTGTTGTTCTGACTGGGGAGGTACTAAGTACTTATGAAGGTAGGGGTAATTGTAAAGCATATAAAAGATATACTTTAACTTTAAAACCTTCATTCGAGATCCAGCAACTGTACGAGACGGTACTGTGTGACGAGCGGACTAGAACAGCCGAAGCAAAATCAGAAGCGTTGCGGAAGTCACTGCGAAAGCACACTCCCGCTGAAGCACCTGAAGCAGAAGCACCCTAGGTCATATTTAGTATTTTTATCTAGTATTTTTGAAATTTCTTTTCAGAAATTTTAATTAGAAAAATAATTAGAAAAATATTTCCAAAGAAGAGT